GAGTTTCGCCTTCTTTTAAATTTCCAATTAAAGTACACACACAATTATACACACTAAAGCAGTTTAAGTGCAAAAAAATGCGGATCGTTCATAAATTTGGAGAAAAATGTATTACAAACTTTTGAAAATCATCTTTAAACGACCGGGTATTTATCATTGCAAATGAGATTGCACATTGTCCTGTACTGTTAAATATTGTTTTAAGAACTAACAATCGATGTTGTGCAACAAAATTGTGCCTAAGATCCACTACAACAAAGTTTTTGAAAAACTGTTGGACCTATTTTAAATCGCCTGATTAATTGTGGACGCAAATTCGTATGAAGAAAAGATTAAATTAAATTAAATCCTTTCGATAGAATCCCGATACCGATTCCCTATGTTTTACTCTCCGTCTGTAGTCCAGATGATGACCATTTGCATTGTATTGCACCATTCAAAGTTTCGAAGTGGTAAAATGTTACTATCTACTTGTTTAGTGATTTTCATCGGAGACAATTGTTAAACCAGATGTTGAGCAAATATTTTCTAAAGAAGGCAGGGTCAATTTATGAAAAACGGTCAGGATTAAGTGCAAATAAAGTGTCACAACTATTATTAATAACTTTTAATGTAATAATATGTTCTATTATTTGTTATTTTACTTTGTAACAACACATTATCAATATTTAAGTATCTATTTTGTAATATTTCATATTTAACATAAAATGATAAACATCATTACTGTTTTGTAATAATATGTAATAAATATGTTTTGAATTTAATTGAAAAAATATTTGAGTTTACCTCGGTTATTTCAGAAAACATGGGTTCCGTCTTCTTACTTTCTATCCCGCAACGCATCCTTGATGTTAAGACGATACGAATCTCCCTTCAGCTTATAGTTGCAAAATATGTAAAACGAATTTATTAGGGCATATTTTCAATTCCCTATATTATTCATATGATTAATTGTGTTTACCACGCATCAAAATGAATTTTTTCCCTTCATATACCCTTTGATACCTTTATGATTAAATTTTATCAATTTAGTAAAATTTTTTTAGCCTTGGATTAGTTTGGGTCAGTTATAATATTTTTTTGAACATACGCGCGATGGCTTACATTATGTATACATATAGAGTGTCAAGTGTATCCTGTTTCTATGGCTCTTCCTCGTTTTACCGTCTATTTTAAACAGATAGAAC